GATGTATAATGGTGCTTTTAGAATCTTAATCAATATGCTAAGTAATAGAATATTATAATATAATCGAGATGGATTGATGATAATGGTAATAATAATAAGCACAGAGCCGAAATGATTAAAAGTTGAAAGTTGAAATTTGGTACAGTTAGGGTATGTCATGAGAATGAACACTAAGAAGGAATTTTTTGAAATTCTCCCCCTTGGGGAAGAGAGAGAGAATTAAGGCTTATTGTGAAGAACTTGGCTTCTATTATACTATTTTAGATGTGATTTTTTGCATTTTTGATTACGTTTCAATAGGGTATGCCATGAAAATGCATATTAAGAAGTGATTTTCGAAATTCCCACCGCAGAGGAGAAAGAGAGGGTTAAGGATTACCCTGAAGAACTCGGCTTCTACTGTACTATTTTAGATGTCATTTTTGCATTTATGTCAGAAATCGAACATATTTTTAGACTCTTCTAAAAATTCTCAACGATACTTAGTGTTCCATCATATATAAAGTTGACATGGGGAGCGCATGCGCATAAGTTCACTTTATTCAAACTCTTCATCTTAATGTTCAATTTTATGTTTGAATTCATATTTATGAATGATTCTGGAAGATCCAGCTTATTTTTTGAATTTATTAAACCTGAAGAAGAACCCAGAAAGAGTTACGAAAACGTTTAATATTTATTACTTAGTGGTACTATGCACCAGTTGGTGGTTGCAGTGAGTCTTATTTATCATTATCTGCAAATCCTCTAATTAGTCTCAAAAGAGGGGGACTTATTTCTTGCACTCGATGAAAACAGGTAAGATCAGCTATAATCTAACAATCTTAATCTTTGCTATCATTACTTTTTGTATGAGCAACACCGGGCTCATCTGCTAGTAAATAAATAACAATCTAGCAATGAAACACTAAATACAGTAGAGCCTCAAAAACTCGGCCTAATGTGGACCAAAGGGTGGCCGAGTTTGTGAAAATGCCAGGTTATCGGGAATGGGGTTAAAAAAATAAGTATGAGTGTTTCCTCAGAAAATACTGTACTGTACTTGTATGTATTGTTTACTTGAGAATACAACAGAGAATAAACTGCCCAAATACCCTTAAACAAAGGAAAAGTACGTC